TCTTAACCTATGTTCAATTACCGTCTCCCATAATTTTAAAGTATGACACATCAACTTAATTCCTCTATAATTTGCACACTCTTGTGCATCCCCTTTATTCTTAAAAATGGGGATCAAAATACTCTTCCTCCACTCCTCAGGCATCTTTTTAGTTTTTAAAATAATATTAAAGAGTTTAGTAAGCCAAGAAACTCCCAAATCTCCCAAATATTTCCACACTTCAATTGGGATATCATCAGGTCCTACAGACTTTCCACCCTTGGTTTTCTTTAAAGCCTCCTCAACTTCTATTTTGCTAATGCGACGATAAAAATGAAACGTTTTATTATTATTCACGATATTAAAATCACTAAGGTCGATCGTATTTTCAGAAACTTCATTAAAAAGTTTATCAAAGTAACTCATCCACCTATGTTGAATATCTTTTTCTAAGAAAAGTACTTTTTGATTTTCATCTTTAATACACTTTACTTGAGTTAAATCTTTACTTTTCTTTTCTCTTTGTTTGGTTAATTTATACATATATTTTTCACCCTCCTTAGTATCTAATTTATTATAAAGATCATTACAAAGTTTTATGTTTGCTTGGCAAAAAAAATATGCGAGAGAATACATTATAAGAGGAAAACAATTCATCAACAGACGAGAACACCTTAACACCATAATCTCTAAGCAAAAAAATGTCATGAATTTGGCATTTGTAGTGCACAGACTCTGCTAAATGAAATTATAAAAAAAGAAAACAAATGGACGTGAATCTTATTAAAATGAATACAAATAATTTTCCCAAAAATTGTAAAGCATACAAAACCAATACATTAACAGGAACCATCGTCAAACTTATCTATGCATTAAAGTTCTCGAACCTTACCGCATGCCCACTTTTAGTACAGACCAATGTAAATATCTTAATAATTTATTGTATACCATGCATCTCCGGTGGAGGGAACCATAGCTTAGTCTCCTATATATGAAGTAAATAAACAGCATAATAAAAAAAATAGTCATTCATGGTGGCCTACAAAAGTAATAGCGTGCTTTATAATGATGTAGTAGTTGACTAAATACAGAAAAATAGAAAATAATAAAAAAAAAAAGATCTACTTGGGCTCGATATGAGCTGTAGGAAGGTCAAAATTAAGCTAAACATATGAAGAACAAGAAAAGTTCCATTGAAACTGCTTGCAAACTCCTAATTTGTAATCTCAAGCTTTCTCTGACTTCAAACGAGCTATTTGCCAGAAATTTTAAAATCCAAAACGCAAAAAATACAAGATCTGCTATTCACATTTAAGAGGAAATTTGTTGGGTCTGCACCATAAGCAAATAGTATTAATACCACTTAAACTATTCAAGAAGATGACAAGAAATTAAAAACGAGAATAAAGATTACTATTCTTTAAATTACCGTAGAAGCCTTATCCATTAGTATTGGACAAAATCAGACATGCTTTAATCTTTGCTAGTGAAGATATTCATGCTCAAAACAAAAAGCCAACCCATTGATAAACTGAAACAAGATTTCAACTCTGCTCCAGTAATTAACTACACTTCAAAAGTCAAAATGCGAGAGAAATCTACTACTCTATGTGGAATGATATTGGAATTCTTTTCATTCACCTGGATGTAACATGCAGGAGAAAATTTGCTTTACGTATATGCGACTAACATATCGGTGAAAATGAGTAACCTGTAAAGGAGAAAGTCTTGTGAAGGTGGAGGACTTTCCCATTTTTGTGCATCTCGATCAGATTGAAGTTGATCAAGTTGCTGATCAATGGCGGCTGGTAGTAGATGAGGATGGGTTCGCATAATCTGGGATAAAAGCTGGCCTGTGGGAGATTGGAGTTGGAGAGGGGCGATTGGCATCTGGCTCTGCCCAGAATTATCTGATGCTCTAACTTTTAAGCTGTGAAACTGGCGACTTTCCGAGCAAGTTCCAATCTTAGGCCAGCCAAAATGACAGCACTGAAATTTTAAACAGCGTAACTATGTTAAACTATGTAGCAGTGAAGGCACTTCCATTTATTAGAAGAACGGAAAGCAAAATTGAAAGTATTAAGATTAATTATGGGAGGAGAAGAGCAATAAAAATGATCTATAAAGCCTTCATTCAACTAGGAAAAAGACTGCGCAGGACGACCAATATAATTTATAGGAATAAAAGAAAAATGACTGTCCCTAAAACATTTCATAACTCAATATAGATAAATCAGCGTTTAATCAAATATTGGTTGAATACCAAATCTTACAGCACAAACTATCCTATAGGTAACAATTGGTCAAATCCAAGCAGCCTTAGAGCATAAAAATTTGATGGATTTTCCTTTCCTTTTAACATCATTGATGGGCTAATCTATCCAGCAAGGGTGGATTCAAGAGAGGCCCGAGCGGGCATGAACCCCGCCAAGACCTAAAGTTACAACATAAATGCTGACTTAAGGTAACAACTTAGGCAAATTGGCAGAATATGTGAAAAGAAAAATTTTATTGCAAATGAATTTGACATGTAAACTTAATAGTTAACTTCTATTTATTAATGCTAACCTATGCAATATGAATAATGCAAAAGGTAAAATCTATAATGTACCAACAATGAAATGAATAGAAAAAAATTAAAAAAGTCAACTACTTAAGACGATTTACAATATGACAATTCATATGAAAAATAGAGCTCAATGCATTTACACGCTAACATATCAACATGCAACTAGATCATGGACGCCCACACAGATGTGGGTGTGGGTGTGGGTGTGTGTGTCATAAACAAGAATTAAACAAATATTCTATTATTATTGACTGATGATAGCTTTATAAGAAAACATGATATGCATGAATAGATTTATTGTATTCAACTAACGCAATAAGCATGAGAACAAATACATTACTATCATACAGATATTTCAAAATTGAACTTATGCAAAAACTAATCATGCGGAAAATCAATATGAACTCTCAATTAAAAACAAGTACACATATATAGGCAATAGAAATCAATAATTATAGGTGTAATGATCAGCATAAATTTCCCCATGGCCGACCTAGATTAATTATTATCATTGCAAAATTAAACTTACTATTATAAACCAAATTATGATTTCCTCCAGACCTATTAAAACGCAAATAATTTCATGCATTGAGACGAAATCTTAGCTAACCAAATCTAATGTATACAGTCGATAAGAATACAAAATTAAAATACAAGGAATTATTCTCCTCTTACCAACCAGCGGACAAAGCAGAGCAACAATAAAGAGGAAAAAGTAAATATAATGATGGGGAAGAGAAGATTGAGAAGAAGAGGATTAGAGCTCAAGAGGAAGAAAGGGTGGCTGACAGTGGGAAGAAGAGAACTTAAGGGCAATGCTGGCTCTCAGTTCAAGGAAGTAGATGAGGATGAGGACTTGCTCTCACAAGCTTAGGATAAGAAACAAGACGAAAGTGTGATGCATTGACTAAAAACTCTTTAGATCGCACCGAAGATGAGAGGAATGTGATGTTCGTGTGAGATTAGTGTCGGCCGTTATTTTTGAAAAGGATGATTTTTGTAAAATATGAAAATAATTTTAATATGAATATGATTTTTGAAAGTAACATTTTAATTTAAAAAATAGATGAGACTAAACGAGTCTCATATATTAAATAGTTTGGACGGCTGAGCGCGATACCACAAGTAATACACTATCACGAAAAATAAGCATATCACTTAACAGTAGACTCAACCACCTAAATTAAAAAGTTTGTGACATCCATTTGGTCTGCAAAACTTCTTATGTATGATCGGCAAATTCCCCTACCTAAAATAAGGATTATATAATATTTATTTTACCTGGGTTCCAAGTTCCCTATAAAGGCAAGCCCCTATAGCTATTTACATCTTAAATAACCGGGGTCACTTAAGAAAACTCTCGATTAAGATCAGTGGTTTGCCTTCCAGATTTCAAAGTTTAGGTTTCCAAGATTGGACATCGGAATAATCAAATGAGAGTGGCTCAAATAGGAACTGTTATTTTAAGGAATCCAAAGGAACGAACAGTATGGGATGGGATTGGATAAGGTTTATTTTACCTGGGTTCCAAATTCCCTATAGTGGCAAACCCCTATAGTTATTTACATCTTAAATGACCGGGGTCACTTAAGAAGACTCTCGATTAAGATAAGTGGTTTGTCTTCCAGATTTCAAAGTTTAGGTTACCAAGATTGGACATCGGAATAATCAAATGGGAGTGGCTCAAATAGAAACAATTATTTTAATGAATCCAAAGGAACGAAGAGTATGAGATATCACAGATCCAGGGAGAACCCCAGTGACCTCCCAACTCCAACTATCATATTGTTTGGATATTGTTTGGTTTTATGTTTTTGAAATGATGTTATTCAATGTTTAATCCTGCAATTTCTTTTTATAATTTAGGACTTACATTTGCACGATATCTGATCGTACAAATGGCCGAGAAGGATAGGAGGATTTACATCATATCGCACGGTAACCTCAGAATCATAAAAGTGTTAGGACTTATAATTGCACAACAGAGTTATACAAAAGCCTAAAGATAAGGTGATGATATAAGGTGATGATTTACGTTGCGATAAGGTGATGATTTACGTTGCGCTACGCAAACCACCTCGACGTCCTATGGCTTGTTATTTAAAATAAAGAAAATGTTTAATTGACGTGAACTTGTTTTGATGTTGCAGATCTATCTCGAAGTTGTTTTTCTGTGTGTCCTCGTCATGTTGCCCGCAGTATTCGCTCCAAGTTCCCCATCGTAGCACCTTCGAATTCGATGTTAATTTTAAAGGTACATGCAATTGTTTAGTCAACGATCTGTTGTCGGATACCTCCTATGAAACCAACTACTGGTCTTCTATTCTAAGGTATAGTGTGTAAAAGTAGCAGTAGAGAAACAGTAAGAGGTACAAGTATAATGACAGAATTTAAGAAATGAGTAAACATGCACTGTATTAACAAAAGAAATATCATCTGGAAAACTCAAGAAAGAGCGGCAAATGACCTATGACGAAAGAAAACTCGAGAAAATCAGCAAATGACTCGACGGAAATCTTGAAGTAAAAAAAAAATGGCAACTCAAAGAAAGCCACCGAAAACCCGGGAAGATCTCGGAAAAAGACCACGAGTGCTTTACCAAAATTTCCAATAAAATTTCACGAAAATCCAAAAAAAGAAAACCGCAAGCACTCGGGTCGGGGCTAGGCCCAGATACTATATATTTGTATTCGATGGACATCAAAGGCTACTATCGATCACCCGGATGTATAGAGTCTGCCACTCAACTAGAAGGGTGTCCAACTAAACCTAACTTAAGAGGGTACTCCTTAGCCCGGTACTGGTAATCAACAAGTGGACAATCAAGTTACAATATTTTTAAAATTTATATTTTAGCATGCACATGGATTTCAGGCATATAAAAGAAAGTTGTATCAATTTTGTAGTAAATATATTTTTTATAAATATTGTATTTGCTCTTATCATGTTATGTTCTTATCAGTGTAAAAAAATTATGATTGTTTACAAGTCGATCACGTCGTCGGGCGTAGGACTGCCAATAACCTAAGAAGATATGGGTCCCCCGCTAACTTTGTTTCGGTGAATGATACTATCATCCTACAGTTTATCAGGTCCCAGGGTTGGGTCTTGATGTCGTAGGATGGAATATCATTCTGCTCTACCACCGACGTGTCTTTGTCATCACCACCCTATGCCCTAAAACAAAACCGACCTACTTACGACCTTGTTTGATAGTTCATATATAGCAAAATGTTATATATGCGCACTTATGCATCAGACATAAGCACCAAAAACCTAAACCAAGAAGCAAGGAAAGCAAACCAAAAATCAACAAATGAAAAAGAAGACCAACCCTCTTCCAAAACAAATTTAGAAAAGAAAAGCCAAAAGCGGCAAGAGGGTTAGCCTAAAACATCTGACTGGCAGGACTTTCCCGAATGAGTAGCAGAGGTGAATGCACTTCCCACACTAGCCATGAAACATCTCCAAAAGGTATAATTTATAAATCTCCAAACTGCTTCTAAACTTTCACAAATATCACAAAATTTCTTTTCTCTTCTTTCTTTTCTTCTCTTTTTTTTATTGCAATCAATTCAGCTTACAGAATTGAACTCCAAACATTTCCAAACGTCTAACAAATCATTTCTTGAAAAGAATATTTTGAATTCTTTTAAACATCAAGAAATGACAAATTTTATTTCACCAACATCAAAATATTCAATCTTGCATTAAATTAAAAGAAATTCCCATGCCACATGAACCCCACACCTTCCAAGGGATTGCACATAAGCACTCATGACCGGGGCAGCAAAGAGAACCACCCAAAATAAGCTCACGGGTCAAGACAACAAGAGAAGCCCACTCAAGCTCAGCTCACGGGCCAAGGCAAGCCTTCTATGTTCAAAATGTATGAACAGCACGGGCCAAGGCAACAAGGAAGCCCACTCAAGCTCAGCTCACGGGCCAAGGCAACAAGAGAAGCCCACCCAAGCTCAGCTCACGGGCCAAGGCACCAAGGAGGGACCAAGAAAACAGAGAGGGAATCAACCATCAAGCTCACGGGCAAAGGCACCAAGAAGGCACCAAGAAGGGCAAGTCGATCCCAAATTAAAATTATGATTGAACCACAGGTAGACACAAAAGAAAAGGCTCAACTCAGCCCTACAATAGCACATTCAACCAAATATTCATCACCCAGGCAACAGGAAATATTCGAACAGAAAAGAATGGCACTACAAGGAATGCTCATAGCCAAGAACATCCAAAGAAGCCACTAACTCCTATTCAAGCAGGGGTAGCAGCCAAAAGGGCAAACTGAGCCCAATATAAGGGAAATCACAATTAGGTGCTCTCGGGTAGGTGCAGCCAGATAGCCAACAGTTACCAATGCACGGATAAGAGTAGCCAAAGAGGGAAAGCCACCAGCCAACAACACAAA